CTGAAACTCAGTTTCTTTTCACTTCACTAGTAATTTCTGATGTTTGAGAAGCATGTCGGCACAGGATTAGATCCATAACTCTGGCTGCTGAGAAGAAGTCCAGAAAGAAAGTCTCACTACATTGTAGATACATCCCATTTAGCAAATTATGTGTGCATTTTCATTTCCAGCCTGTCTTTTTGATTTTACAAAGCAAAGATCCAGCTGTGATGTTCTGTAACTATAAGCATCACAAACCTATTAATGCCACCTTTCACCTTCAGCAGATTTTTCTAAGCTGAGGTCCTTTACCTGGGTCCTTTACCACCCAGAATCATGTTGGAGGAGGCTGATCTTGAATGAATATATATCAATAGAAGAGAATATATGTAGCTCAGGGTTGAACTGTGGAGTCCTTGGGGTTCTCTAAGCTTGGTTGTTTTCTTGAAAACTTTTTGTTACCTGGCTAGGTAACATCTTCAGTGCAAGCCTTTGTAAAAAAACAAACGACCAAGCTTGGAGTACCCCAAGGACTCCATATATATAAATGTATAGCCTGGAAACTGTCCACTCAGATGCCACTTTGAGACATGTTTTCCCTCATATCTAATATGTGCATTATTAATTGATTGCATTTTTAAGCTGTCCATCAACAAGAGTTCTCCGTGCAGACCTGTTAAAATTGCCATTATTTCTCTCAAGGTTTAATAACAGCAGTCCTGCTTGGACTCCAGTTTTATGACTGAATCATCCCATTTTGAACTGCTACCAGATTAATCAAATCTTAAAGGTATGCATTCAACGGTATTCAAAGTGATTTGGAAGAAGTGCTTTGGATCTTGCATGGATCTCTGCAATACATTCAAGCAACCTGAACTTTTTTTCCAAACTGCATCAGTCTGAAAAAAAAAATGAGTGGATCCCTCAAAGCCATTGCAGCATTTTTCAGGCTGAATACAAAATTCTGAAAAACGTTGCGCTGCATGAATGAATATCTCCCAAGGCATCTGTGGGGGCAGGGGCAGAGATTCAATCAATATGGCAGCCGCAACCATGCCATGCACAGAAATGGGGTAAAAAGGGGCAGAGCATTGATCACATGGCTGTAGCAACCATCTTGATTTTTTTACATTCCCTCCTTGAGGGATGCATTCAGCCCATGAGAGCTCCAAACCATTTCTTCAGAATCATGTTCAAAACTCACATAGCCCTAACTCTTATTAAGAAAATCAAAATTAGATCCAAAGGTCTAAACCCAGTGGTTTGCCTCTACACACCAAACCAGTTCTTGACTACCCCATTGCTTAACTCCTGGATATTTTTGTTCCAATATTTTCTACTGCCAATTCTTAGTTCCTTGCCAAATCTAAAGAACTCTACATAGCCAACCTTGTTTTTACACTGAGAATGTCAGAACAGCCCACTGGAACTGTCCAAGACCTACATTGCAGGACTGAGCATGCTCCAAAATGTTTCAAAACAAGTTCTCCAGAACTTGCATGAGCACAGTATCCTATGCGGAAACTTGAAAAACTGCTTTCATAAATTTAAAGGTCCAAAGTACTTCTTCTGAATCATTTTGAAGCAGGCAAAACTCAACTATTTAGTCCTACAGTGACCACCTAAGAAATCCACAATGAGCTGCCATTCATGTTCCTCAAAACACAGCCTACTGCCTTTGCTATTGGAGTTCAGTTACACCAACCCTATCAAGGCTTTCTCTGTCCTCCATATTGTCCCAAGAGTAGGTTTTTCATGAGGGTGGTGAAAGAGGGCAATAATTATTTTTAACATGGTAAATACAAAGGATGCTTCGTTCATTAATTCTTGTGAGATCTGCTAAGCCTAACATCTCTTGGTGCTGGGTTGAAATTGTAGTAAATGCGTAAGCTGTTATTTATTGATTCTGTTTGTCATTCAGCACACTGCTTACAGTTTTATGCTTGCGTTGAGTGATGGCCAAATTGCAGTGCATCTTTCTCCCTAAGACAGTGTTGTCCAAACTTGGCCACTTTAAGATGAGTGGACTAAGATGGCTGGCTGGGGAATTCTGGGAGTTGAAGTCCACTCATCTTAAAGTGGCCAAGTTTGGACAACACTGCCCTAAGAACTTCATGGGGGGGGGGGGAGGCAGAAAAGTATATTTTAGACAGGAGAAATAACAGCCCCGTTTCAAGTTCTCCAACTCCCTTCCTACAAAGTTTAATTAGACATACCTATAATACTTCCCCACACCAATCCATATCCTTGGTTGCTATTATTGATGGTAATTATGGTCACAAGTAGGCCCGAACATATTGCTAAAATACATTAATTTATACTGTGT